CTTTATCTTTATCTTTATCTTTATCTTTATCTTTATCTTTATCTTTATCTTTATCTTTATCTTTGTCTTTATCTTTATCTTTATTGTTATCTTTATCTTTATCTTTATCTTTATCTTTATCTTTATTTATCTTTATCTTTATCTTTATCTTTACCTTTATCTTTACCTTTATCTTTATCTTTATCTTTATCTTTTTCTTCATCTTTATCTTTGTTTTTACCTTTATCTTTATCTTAACCTTTCTCTTACTTTTATTTCTTCTGATCTTCATTGTCCGTTCCGTTTCAAGTTACTTCAAAAATTTAATATTTTTGCTTTTACTTTCAACTATAATTTTGACGCCACTTACTTTCAATTTAACTTAATTTGACGACTTCTCTTTGACAACCACTTCTTCATTTAATTTATTCTCTATATTTATTTTGCGCTTGTCTTGCTTTTCTTTCTTTTTATGCGCTCTTAGTTTTATTTTCGCGTCACCTGCTTTTATTGCTACTATTTACCTTATTTTCCGTCAAGTTTTAAGTAGTCTACCTTCAGGCGCACGCACACTTTAAATATGCCGCATAAAAATGTTTATTACTCAAAATTTTCTGAAACTTTAACTTGTCGCCGGTGAGACATGGTTGGACCGAGCGCGGCGCAGTGAAGTGGCAATGCAACGCGAGTGCAACTAATGTTGTCAAGACATTCAGCGCCGCAGCACCGGATGCATATTCATTCATGCCATCTTGTGTTCTTGAGGCTGTCATGCACTTCAGCCGCCTGCCGCCTTCCATTCCACCTGAGCATTATGTGCAAGTTGCTTTGCATTTTTAGTTTGCTATTTTTTCACTTTATGTTTTATTTTCTTTTTCGACATTATCACATTTTACTATCTGCGCTGTCGTATTAGCTTTTTACAAGGTGGAAAATTGTCTAGTTTTCCTCCCCTAATTCTTTTCTGACTGCTTGTTTGTCTGTCTACGCATCCGTGCTAGCTGAAGAGCCAGCTTCCGTGCGCACTTTCTTGAATTTATTTTTTATATATACACACACATATATTAATGCATGTATGTAGCAGGCGTGTGTCTGCATTCGCAGCGCCGCAGCGCAAGTGGCAAATGTCTCTACAACCCTAACTAAAACAACAAGACATCGGCAGATCTCCAGCGTCTTGGCAGGCATTTACATTTATCCGCAGCAATTTGAAAATGGGTTTTTATTTAAGTTTACTGTTGCTGCCGCTTCGTTGACTGCTGCGCTACCAGATGCTTGGTTGGCTTTGTGCTTGGTGTGGGCGGCGCTGGTGCGACGGTGTGGGGCAAGTCACGCGCTGGAACATTAATGTTCACTTAAGCAAATTGCACACACAGCTACTTGCCACATTTACAACTACATGCGCAAGCATGTAAAACTTTATTTGTGCAGCATCTTCGCATTGCCGTGTAAGATGCAGAAGCATAGAGAACAACAACAACAAAACAGTAGCAAATAACAAACAACATGCGCATTCACTAAGTGTGAATAAGCTTGTTAATTTTTGCTTGCAACAAAATAATCTCGTCACACACACACACACGCTCGCATAAAAATATACTCGTAGTTCGCCGTTAAGTATCAACCAGCGTTTACTTTGCTAAACGGCAAAAAAGTTTTACACTCAACTATATTTATTGTAACATTTTGCGCACTTTTTTCCATTTTCCATTTTCTACTTCCGCAATATTCGCTAATTTTTAACCTATTTCTTTGCCTTTCCTTACGCTGTGTCTTTTGCAGGCGGGCAAGGAATGCAACTTGGTCGTGCACCAGAGAACGCCGGATATCTGCAAATTCCTTAGACTGGCGGTGCCGCCGCCAACGGTGCAGGACTCTGGCGCTAACAGCACTGTTGCAACACCGACAACTACAACGACAAAGAGCAGCACAGCAGCACCAGCAGGCGGCGTAGATAATGGCGGCGCACATCCTGCCGAGCAAACTGGCTCCATTGGTGGTAAATTAACTTTGTTGCACACGGGCATCAGTTTTTTCTGTTTTTTTGTCCTGTTACTTATAAATCTATTTTACCACAGTAAATTTTACATTTTATAATTTTCCAATTTCTCAACCATCTCTCTTCTGTCTTCTGGGTCGCGCTGCGCTCGTGTGTACATCGGCAATACAGCTATATTGGCCGCCATACTATCGTTGACTTGCTTCGTCGCTTGCCTTGGCGTGTTTGCCTTTTCGCCGGAACGGCGGAACAGCGTGAGGCGCTTGTTTAGACGCACTACATCGGCGGTGCGTTACTCGAGGGTAAGTTTTGTTGGAAGAGAAGGTTCAGCATTTTAGCTGGTTTAATTTAAATATTGAATTTTATTTTAGTTTTGGTTAATTTTATTTTTAATTAAT